GGGTGTTATATACTGCTTGTCAAAAGATTGGGGAAGTAATAAGTCAAATAATTTAGTCATTAACAAAGTGACGGGTTTTACAAATTTTAAGGGAGTTTTTCAAGTTGTTACAATCTTTCAAGGCTTAAATATCATCTATTTCATGTGGTTCTTTGAGTTACTGTTACGTGTTTCATTGTATAAGTTATCAAGCACAAGTAAAATAGTCTTGTGTACCTTCCTGTCCATCCACATTCAATATTGTATGAAATCCTTATTCCATACTTTGCTTTTTTTTTTTGCTTTTGCTTTTTGGGTCACACCCGGCGATGCACAGGGCACAGGGGTTACTCCTGGCTTTGCACTCAGGAGTTTCTCCTGGCGGTGCTCGGGGGACCATATGGGATGCTGGGAATCGAACCTGGGTTGGCCGCGTGCAAGACAAACGCCCTACCCGCTGTGCTATCTCTCCAGCCCCTACTTTGCTTTTTTTAAAAGAGCATTTTAGAGCAAACACCAGAAAACATGCCGGCTTAAACAAATTCTCTTATAAAGATCATAAAGATGAGACATTAAATTTTCCTTTTATAGCAGATCAAACCATCTATCATTTAATATCCATTCAATATTAGATTTCCCCAAGATTTTTTTGTAGTGGGGGAAGGGAAGACTTCTGAGATTCTTGGTCAGCTGGGCTTGTGGTGCCTGCACGGGATTACTGTCGGTACTCCAGGGCTGCACCCATGATTGATGCTTGGGAATCTAATTGGGTTGACCGCATGACGGCATGAACTTTAATCCCCTGTACACTCTCTCAAAATTGTAATGGTTGAACTATTAGAATCAGGATTTAAACAGAGTTTACACCATGCATTTGGCAATTAAACCTCTTTATATAATAGTTCTTTCCCTATAAAAAGTTCATTTAAGAGTATTTTCCACAGTGAGCGACACTGCCCTCTGGGGGCACTGAAGCAGTCCAGCGGAGAAAGGTGCTTGGTAGCCTTGGGTGCAGTTGAGGTGTTCTTTTTAGTTTGCTAAAAGAAATTAGGTGTTCAGGGGGCACTGAGTGATGCTTTTTTTCTTTTTCTTTTTTTTAAGGAGCTGATAGGCAAAATAAGTTTGTGAATCTCTCGTTAGAGAAGACACGTGATATCCCCCCCCCCCCCCCCCCCCCCCCCCCGTCCCCGTCCCCGTCCATATGCTGAATTGTAAGATTCCTTTTTTGATGGTTGGGGTGGCACATCCATTGTTGGTCAGGGCTTACTCCTGGTTCTGCTCCAAGGGAAGAGCTTGAGGGGAACTGTATGTGGTGCTAGAAATCGAACTGGATTGGCTGCACGTGAGGTAAACTATGCCTTATTCTCTCGTATGATCTTTCCAGCCCAAAAGATGACTTTCTTGTGTTACTTCCTTTATTCTAGCTCTCATATTAGAAATATGCCAGTATTTAGATATAGTGGCTTTATTAGATTGAAGTTTAGTGCTCCCCTCCCCCCTCCACCAAAGCAGTAAGTTCTTTTGTCAGCAGTGGTGCTGTTTCATATTACATTACATCATGAAGCATATAATGGCTGCTTATTCTACTTTTAGGATGGCAAATCATAAAAATAATGTTAACTAAGAAATACTGCTTTTGGGAGGAGGCTTATTTCATAATATGTCTTTGGTATCATTAAAGCCTCTTTGTATTATCTAAGTTTTCTAAAGTTTGTCATCTTTCTAAGCTTTTTGATTGACTTGTCAGGTAATATCTAAAAGCATCAAAGACTGGCAATTAGTATGTAAATCTTCTCCAAACAGTATTTTCCCCCAGAATAAAGCAATTGAGAGAATGTCTTATAAACCAGAAATGCTCTGTAATTTGAGAGATTTTGAAGGACCTGTTAAATATAATGATTCTCATGAGGATCTTTCCTTTCATGTTTTGGGCCGCCCTCGGTAGTGCTCAGGTGCTACTCCTGGCTCAGTGCTCTTAGTTTGCTTCCAATTGTGTTGGGAACCCCATACGGTGTTGGGTATTGAACTTGCATCTTTTGTGTGAACTACAGACCTTTAAGCTGCCTCTCTGGCTCACACTTTGTCATTTTATGTTGGTAGTACAAAAAAGCTGAAGGAGAACCTTGTTTTCTATTAAAATGAACCTGTGGGACCTGGAATGTGACTCCAGTGGTAGGATGGTGCCTGTGTTTGTGAAGCCCTCCATTCCATTCCCAGCACCGCTTTGTAGCCCCCTCACCGCTGGGTGTGGCCCTCCCAATAATTAACATATGATCATGTATTAGTAAATACAAGGGCATTTATAAACAGTTACTATTTAGATATTAGCTGATTTGATTAAGTTCTCATAGTGAGTAAATTATTCACTATAGAGCATTTAGATGACTGGTTTTTTAGCTTTATTGATCCCCCGAGTTTAGTTTTTTATAACCTTAATGTGGAAATGACGGTACTACAAAAATGTGGTTAGTATCATATATTTGATTGTTGATGTTTCTGTTGGTTGGCTGGTGGTACCAGTATGTGGTGTGGGGAATCAAAACCGGGTTGGCTATGCAAGGCGACTGTACTTGCCATTGTACTCTCTCTGTCCTGTGTAGTTCTAATTTTCTCATGAACTTTCTATTATAGGAATGTGAGGATGAACTAGATAACTTTATCTGAGAAAATGTAGTCGATTTCCCCCTATGCTGTGGTAGTAGGTAATACACACTTGGTTGTGGGACCTGCCCATTTGTTTACCAGGGATCGTAAACCTTAGTTGTGCTTCATACACCTGGTTGCAGCATGTTGGAGATACACTATACAGTTTGTATAGTATTGGGAATCATAAGCAGTTGTGCCCAGATCAAGGTTGGTATGTGCAGGGCAGTTTTACCAGTTGAATTCATGGCCTTGTTCCTCATACTTGCAAGGCAGGTTCTGCCAAAAAACGGGCTCCCAAGTTTTAAGTTTTTATATTTATAAAGTGGCAGTTTATATTCTTAAAATTTTTTTTTTACAAAACTATTTGTTAGGTGTTTAGATTATGCATTAGAGAAGAACATTTAATTTGAGATGCTTTGTTTCTTTTCCCATATAACTGGCTGCAGAAATATTTTTAATTTGGCGCTCCTGGCTCTGAGGTCAGGGCTTACTCCTAGCAGGCCTGGGGAACCATCTGGGTTCCAGGAATCAAACCTAGGTCAGCCTCATGCAAGATAAGTGCCTTGCCAGCTGTACTTTCTCTTTGGGCCCAGAACTGTTGCATTTCAGAATTCAGTAGAATTTCTAATCATTAAAACAGTAACTTTATTAATTGAGGTAATACTGGTTTACAAGAGTGTGAATTATTATTTCAGGGGACAGTGTTAAACACTCACCAGAAAAGTACCAAAAAAATTTTCACTGCTGTTTATAGATACTTTCCAGTTCCCCTTCCCCTTGGTAATCTAAGTGTTGTTGTGAGAATCTTGACAATTTGTTTTCATTGGATTTATGACCTTGCTTTGCTGCTTTATATACTACATACAAGAGTTCATCATGTTTGTGCTGGAGTGATAGTACAGTGGATAGCACGTTTTAACTTGCATGAGACCCACTTAGGTTTGATCCCTGACACCCCATATGGTCCCTCATGCAATGCCAGGAATGATTCCTGAGTGTAGGGCCAGTAGTAACCCCTGAGCACTGTCGGGTGTAACCCCCCCCCCAAAAAAGTTCCATCATGTTTGCTTACCATGACACCCTCTAGTTCCATCCAGTTTGTAGAAAAAGGCAAAATTTCATCTTTTCTTACAGCTGAGTAGTAGTATTCTGTATATACCACAATCTATTTATTCAGCTTGCAGACATGAGCTGTATTTAGATCTTGGCTATTGAACATGGGTGTGCATGTATCTTCACATTGATGTTTTGTACTAAGGAGTGGAATTGCTGGTTTGTATGGTAGGGGGGTTTTATTTTTTGTCTAAAGTTTGGTTTTTGTTCCTATTTTTTTCACCACATCTGCTGTGCTCAGACTCAAGGATCACTTTTGCTGGACTCTGAAAATTGCGGTGTCAGAGATTGGACTTGGGTTAGTCTTGTACAAGGCAAGCAAGCAAGTGCCTTGACTTCTAATCTCTCCTCAGAGATACTGTACTGTCTGTTTATAGGTTTTTGAGCCACACCCTGGAGGGTTCAGGGGCTAGTTTTGATGCTACTTTGTGGAGCATGCGGATTGAACTTGAGCCTTTTGCTTGAGCTGTTACCTCCTTGGTCCTGTTTTTAACATTTTGAGAAGTCCTCTGCACTGTCTGTAGCACTGTCCTCCCATTGTTCATCGAGTTGCTCGAGCAGGCCCAGTAACATCTCCATTGTGAGACTTGTTGTTACTGTGTTTGGCATATCGAATACATCACGGGGAGCTTGCCAGGCTTTGCCGTGCAGGCGAGATACTCTCGGTAGCATGCCAGGCTCTCCGAGAGGGGCGGAGGAATCGAACTTGGGTCGGGCAGGTCGGCAGTGTGCAAGGCAAACACCCTACCGCTGTGCTATCGCTCCAGCCCTAGAAGTCCTCATACTGCTTTATGTAGAGGCTGAACCTGTAGGTTTTATTTATAATGAAATAAAATCTTCATTGTATCCCCTCAACCACTCCCAGCATTGCTTGGTCCAGCCATGCAAAACAGACAGTTCAATGTTTGGACCCATTAATGCTGTGCTGCATAGAGTCCCCCAGGCCCATTGGTGCTTGGGGGACTATATGTTGTGCTGGGGAATCAAACGGGGCCTATCAAACCACCAGACATGGTAGGGCATGCACTCAAGCCCTGCCGTATCTCCATGGCCTTGTTTCCAGCCTGTTTGACAAACAGTTCTTGCTGGTGTATGCCAAATGTCATTGTCCTTTTGATTTGTTTTTTGAATTCCCACTGTTGGGGAAAACTGATTAAGAAGAAATTTAATCTGTGAGAGGAAAGCCACGTCCAAATTTCTTCCCTAAGAAATAAATATATATATCCTAAGGCATATATTTTTGTGTTTGTTAATTTCCTTCTATGCTTGCTTCGGCAGCACATACACTAAGTTTGGAAGATACAGAGAAGATTAGCATGGCCCCTGCGCAAGGATGATACGCAGATTCGAGAACCCTTCTATTTTTTATTGTCTGCCATGGAGGCAGGGGAAGGGTCGGAAAAGGGGGGGGTAACATCCCTGGATGTTGGTGCTGAGGAATGTGCACTGGTGGAGGGATGGGTGTTAGATCATTGTGTGATTGTAACCCAAACATGAAAGCTTGTAACTATTTCACAGTGATTTAGTTAAAAAAGAGATAATTTCCTTCTATGAGCCTTTTAACCTTTATATGTTAACCATATTTGGGTATCTAAAGGAATAAATTATTATAAATTAGAAAAGTTAGAATGATGTAAACACAGTCAATCTGGATGTTCACTTGATGTCCCATCTCACACCAAGGTAAGGCTAATAGACAACCAACAAATCAAGTCCCTAAGTATCTCAGAAAGTGATACTTTTAACTCTGATATTTAGCACTTTTTATTAATAGCTCACAAAACACTTTGGGTGTATTATATTTGAGTTCTGAGACCACACCTGGCAGCATGCAGGAGATAATACAAAAACTGGGCTCAAAATGCACTTTTTATATGTATGGGGGGAGTGGAGTGTAGCCTGATTGCAGAACATTTGTTTTGCATGGAACAGATCCTGGTTTTGATCCCCAGCATCACCAAAAAAATAAGTTTATAGATTCTTTTTCTTTGCACTGAGGGGAAATGAATTCATTGATGCATGCCGGCAACGTATGGATCTCACTTAACCACATTCAGAGCTCTGTGGTATTTTGATATCAGGTTAGGTTTTACTTTAAAGCTCTGTGTCATGATGACTCGATAATTTATTACAGTAGGTCTTGGATGTGAAGGTAGATGTAAAATCCATAATACAGTGTGTGAAGTTGTTACTTTGAATCATGGTTTGAAGGGAAAAAAAGATTAAATTAAAAATGTATTCCTTCCCCCCTTTCCCTTGTTCTGTTGCAGTGACTGGGAATTGCATAGACACTCAGATGTGGCGCTTACCAAAAGTTGCACATCAGGTTGCAATACCTGCATGTGTGCTTGCCAGGGACTGGATTCTTTTTTCTTTTTTCTTTTTTTTTTTTGGGTCACACCCGGCAGTGCACAGGGGTTACTCCTGGCTCTGTGCTCAGGAATTAGCCCTGGCGGTGCTCAGGGGACCATATGGGTTGTTGGGAATCGAACCTGGGTCGGCCGCGTGCAAGGCAAACGTCCTACCTGCTGTGATATTGTTCCAGCCCCCCTGGATTCTTAGTAGATATACATGTTAATAGTCTAAGTGCTTTCCAGGTGTTGCACTTCTGGGCCACAGCATTCACATATCTTGTTTAGTTGAAGGATTGTATCCTTCCCTGTGGTGCACACACTTGGCTGTGGTGGTTCTGGAAATTGCTTTTGGTGATAAGGATCATTGAAGGTAGCATCACACTTAAGTTTTTATATTTATAAAGTGGCAGTTTATATTCTTAAATTTTTTTTTTACACAACTATTTGTTAGGTGTTTAGATTATGCATTAGAGAAGAACACTTAATTTGAGATGCTTTGTTTCTTTTCCCATATAACTGGCTGCAGAAATATTTTTAATTTGGTAAATGTGGGACATTGGGGATCAGAACTCTTGACTGTACAGGCTGTTGCTCCTGCCCCTACACTATTTCCCTGGATCTATTTTGAAGAATTGTAGCACTGTCGCTCTGTCCTCCAATTTGCTCGAGCAAATTTGTTCATCGATTTGCTTGAGCGGACCCAGTAACATTTCCATTGTGAAACTTGTTGTTACTGTGTTTGGCATATTGAATACATCACGGGGATCTTGCCAGGCTTTGCCACGGGGACGAGATACCCTCGGTAGCTTGCTGGGCTCTCCGAGAGGGGCGGAGGAATTGAACTCAGGTCGACCAGGTTGGCCGCTTGCAAGGTAGAATTAAGATGGAAAACTAGTTCTTTGTATTTACGCATACATAGCATTTCTGGGGCTCTCCATTCCTTGTTGATGATCAGGATTTCCATCTGTACTTTCTGATCCGAGGAATTATTTTTCAACGTTGCATGTGGAAGTGTTGTGATGAATTTTTGTTTAATAAAAAATAAAAACAATGGGCCAGAGAGATAGTACAGCAGTTAAGGTGCTCACCTTGCGTGTAGCCATCCTGGGGCACATCCCTGGCACCACAAATGATCCTTCAGCACAAGCACAGAGCCAGGAGTAAGTCCTTAGCACTGCTGGGTGTGGCCCCCAAACAAACAAATAAGAACCTTTCACTTAGCCTTTATTCACAATGGATATTTTCACCTTACAAATTCTAGGATGGCATCTTCTCCAGCATTTTTGTATTCTGATCCTGATCCTGTAATTCTAGTTCCCATGGTGCAATTTTTGTGATCATTTATGTTGTCGTCTGTTTCCTGCTTCACTTATGTAATATATTATCTTTATGTATCTTACGGATTTTCTCCTCCCCCATCCCAGCATTTTTCTGGTGTGTAATGGTATGGATCTTCCAGCCTCCCTTTGTTTATCTTGCCTGGTGTTCACTTAGCATCCTTAATCTACATTTTGTGTTTAGTTTTCATCAACTGAGGGAATTTCAGGCCATTATTCCTTTTTTTTCCCCCCCAGGCCATTCTTAAATTCTCCTTTTCAGATTCCTTTCTAGGACTAGTGAAGTGAAACCTTTTGGTGTGTGCCATAATAGTGTCCCCACCATCTTTTAGTACTTAAATCAGAACTCTATTTTTTGTCTTTGAATTCTCTGGCCCAGTGTTCTCCCCCAAACCCCCAGTTTATCCACTTTATTTTCTTGAGAAAATAAGCAGAAAGCATCCCTCCCCACCTTGAAACAGCATCCCAGGCTACTTTTAACTATTGGCCGCTGTATTGTACCAGAGTCCTCCAAGGACTTTCCCACTTTACACTGGAGGATTAGCGTTTTGCAGCCTCCCACTTTTCTGGCAGTGATGTGGCACTTGAATCATGTAACCCTTATGTGATTGTGGGTGTGGGGAGGGTTTGGTGTCTATGTAGGTGTACATGTAGGGACAACTGTACAATTCTGGATTTCAGGAATTAAATGGCGGGTTTTGGAATTTATTTCATGGTAATTAGGTGGGGTCAGGCAGTGGTGTTGTAGGCTAAAATAAAGGGCTGGAAGGTGAATTATCTTCCTCTCTTTTTTATTTTTTTGGGGGATGGGCTTAATTAGGGGTGTGTACCCTGTTTTTGAGTTATCTACCCAGTGCCAGGGATAGAACTCAGGCCTCCTGCTTGCAGAGCATGCACTGCGGTCTATTGAGCATTTTCTCCTGTCTTAGGCTTTGTGTTTTTGCTTTTTGGGTCACACCCAGCGATGCTTAGGGGTTACTCATGGTTCTGCACTCAGGAGTTACTCCTGGTGGTACTTGGGGGACCATATGAGATGTTGGGGATTGAACCTGGGTTGGCCACGTGCAAGGCAAACACCCTACCTGCTATGCTATTGCTCTGGCCCTGGCTTTGTTTTCTTTTTTGGAGGGTGCTGCATCCAGTGGTGTCAGGATTGAACCCAGGGCTGTCATGTATTACACATGTGATTGGCCTTTTCAGCTATTCCTCTGGTCCTTTAAAAGACAAAATTTTCTTGTTTCTGTGTATAGTTATTTTGGATTGTGTCCTAGGAACATTGAAAAGATTCTGGATTCTATTATTTTCTTCAGATAGATATTGGCTTTACTTATTTATTTTTTTTCTGTTTTTATGAGGCTTGAGCTTCAAATTCCTAACACATCTGTAGAGGTCAGCAGTAGACATTGCTGCTTAATTCTATTTGAAATTTGCCCCTTTTATGAATTTTTACTCAGGGTGTTTATGTACCTTTCAGGATGGTTGACTAAAACTCTTAAGTTTATATATATAATTTTGTCTCTGAGATTTTTTGTTGATTTCTAGCTAGCAGGTTTGTTTCCCCAAGTTCTATGATTCTTCAAATCTCTTAATCTGTAAAACTGTCCTGTCTAGGCATTTTGTTGTTAAAACTTCACCTAATCTCTCTTCAGTATTAAAAAACATATGCCAGTCCTCTCAAGTGTAGACTGCCTTCCAATTATCTATTTTGTTTGCCACTGCCTTCAAGTTTTTGTTTTATGTTTTTGCTTTTGGGCCACACCCAGCAGTGCTCAGGGTTTGCTCATAGCTTTGTGCTCAGGGATCACTTCTGAATGGTGCTCAGGCAAGTGCCTTAACCTTTGTGCTATCTCTGGTGTCTCCAACTAGGTGTTTTATCTGGAGTTTATAGGTAACCTGCACAATGGTTGGTCTCCGAGGAATTATTCTTCTAATTACTAGTAAACATATGAGACTCAATTAAAGTGTTGATGTCGGTGCTGCAATTTGTTGGTAACCTCTTAATGTGCCTAATTTGTAAATCACACTTTATCATAGGTGTACGCATAGGGGAAACTATACAACTTAATAGGGGTCTTGGAATTTATCTCATAGTAACTAGGTGGTGGCAGGGAGAGGTGTGGGGCCAAAGTAAATGGCCGAAAGAGGAGTGTCTTTTAGGGGTCAGATTGTAGGATGAGAACATGGGAAAGTATTGTGCTATCTTAGATAAAAGAGATTGTTGAACTGAGCTCTTGGAAAATGGAATAAGTCAGTAGGTTGAATTAAGTTATTAGGTATTAGTGTAAGAAAGGAAAATGTCTTGTAAATGGGAAAGAAATCACAAACTTTTCTTTGATACTCTTTGGAACTGGGAGGAAGGAGATTGGGTTTATAATGCAAGGGTGGGGAGCCAGCACCATAGTACAGTACGTAGGACATTTACCTTGCACGCAGCCGACAGTGGTCTGCTCGGCACCATCAGGAGCGCTTCCTGAGTGCAGAGCCAGGACTAACCCCTGAGCATCACCAATGTGACCACAAAAAAACAAACAAAATATTTCACTTTAATTTAGCAGTCATTGAAAAGGTGGAAGCATAAGAAAGTGAAAAGAACTAGTCAAATAAGAAACACAGCAGTTGGGGGAGAAGGCAGCCAAGATTGAGAAGGGATCACTAAGTCAGTGATGGTTGGAGGGAA